AAGATTTTGCGAAAGGAAGAAGAATTGGGCTTTGCATTATGGGAGGTGGAGCAAAAAAAAAATTCTTGACCTTTTTCCCTGCTGCAAAATTAAATATTTAAATGGTAAATTAGTCATTTTACATTTCCTCTAATGGTGAATTGACAGAAAATTTGACAGAAGGGCACAATTGTTATGTGCTCGTAGTTGAAGGGTATATTGGTGCAATTTTTTTGTATAAGAACATGTTTGTGAATTTATCATAATAGAGGGATACAAAATGCTATTATCCAAATTATGTTTTCAATCTACACAATAAATAAAAACCAAATGAGAAAACTTGAAGCCACATTTCAAATTTCCTGCATCCAAAGTGAAAGTAGGAAGGGTAGATTCGTCTTCACAATCACTTATTATTTTATTATTTACAGAAAAATTACATAAGTAATGAGATTTGAACCGTGGTCTCTTCGAACAAAGATAAGAAACATAACCCGTTACAATAAACACATGTGCTATTTTTCAAATAGAAACATACATAAGCTTAAATCTGAAAAATATAAGACTTTTTCACCATGGTTAGCAACAGAAATGTCATTGATTCAAATATTGCATATATTGAATTGCACTCTTGAATGTGTAGAAGCGATGTAGAATTCTTAACATAGACTTAATTGTTATAACTATTATAAAGTAACCATATTTTTAAACACATAACTTTTGAGTGAATATGAGGCACATATGTCTTTAAGAGAGGGGTAAATATGGAAAGGTTGAGTGATGTTGGTTTGCCAAACGCGGATGGAAAAGACACTACTAATGTAAACGGGTCCAAATAGTGCCCCGACCCACTAAACGCTCAACCATCGCTGTCTCTCCAAACTTCCCATCAGACTCAACAACCGGCTAACCTCCTCTACCTCTATTGTTAAGCCAGAGCAATTTTTGGAGGGGTAAATATGGAAAGATTGAGTGTTGTTGGTTTGCCCAATGCAAATGGAAAATGTGCTACTAATGTAAACATGCCCAAATAGTTTCCAACCCACTAAACACTCAACCACCAGGTTACTTTCTCTACACCTAATATAAGAGTGAAATGGGAAATGTGCTTCCCCCATTACAAAATCCCTGCATCCATAGCAAAAGTAGGAATGGTAGATTCGTCTTCAGTCATTTATTATTTTCTTATTCACAAGAAAAATACATAAGTGATCGGATTTGAATTTTGTCTCTTTGAGAAAAGACAAGAAACATAACCAGTTACACTAAACAAATTTGTTTAAACTTTTTAAATTAAAAACATACAGGAAGCTTAAATCTGAAAAATCATTAGAATTTTACATCACAGTTAGCTAAGCCACTAACTCTCCCCTAAATATTTTTTTGGTATTTGATACTTCTATTTTCATACTTTGATTATTTTAATTCGAGTTTAACAATTAATTCTATTTCTCTTTATCTTATAAAAGGAGAATAATTTTAAAATCGCAAGCCTAATGTCATTAGTGCAAATATTGCACATCAGACTTAAATAATATAACTACCAAAAAGCAACAATATTCTTGAACATAGAAGTTTTGAGTGAATATGTGGCACATGTGTCTTTATGAGAGGGTAAATATGGAAAGGTTAAGTGATGTTGGTTTGTCGAATGCGGATTGAAAAGCCGCAACTAATGTAAATAGGTCTAAATGGTGTCCCGACCTACGTACTGAACGATCAACCATCATCGTCTCTCCAAACCTTCCCATCGGACTCGACAACCGTCTAACCTCCTCCACCTATATTGTTAATCAAAGCAATTTTCGGAGGGGTATATATGGAAAGATTGAGTGTTCTTGCTTGGAGAGCTGACTGGTGGGTTATTTAGTTTCTTTGACAGTAATGTATGATCTCTTAACATCATTTCATTTGGTTGATCTTCTAGGTTGACTTTGAGTTTATTAAAGATAAACAGTGTCCCGGGCTCCCGTCCTACTAAAGGCTCAACCATCACCGTCTCTCAAAACCTTCCCATCGGACTCGACAACCTCCTATCCTCCTCCACCTATATTGTTACACAAATCAATTTTTAGAGGGATATATATGTAAAGGTTGAGTGTTCTTGCTTGGAGAGCTGACTAATGGGTTATTTAGTTTCTTTGATAGTAATGTATGATCTCTTAACAACTGTTCATTTGTTTGATCTTCTAGGTTGACTTTTTAGTTGATTAAAGATAAATAACTATACTTTTTGTTGCTTTTGTTATGATACTCCTTTTCAGTATCATCATTTTTCTGATTTGAAATGTTTTGATAGTAATGTATGATCTCTTAACAGCTGTTCATTTGTTTGATCTTCTAGGTTGACTTTTTAGTTGATTAAAGATAAATAACTATACTTTTTGTTGCTTTTGTTATGATACTCCTTTTCAGTATCATCATTTTTCTGATTTGAAATGTTTTGGTGGTTAGTTTCCAGTAAACAAAGACTATTCTGATTAGTGTTAACATAGGGAATAACTTCAATCATACCACTTTTACACAAAATTTATATGTAAGAGTTGAATCATTGCCGAATTGAACTATTCAAGCTATAATGTTGATCTTCAACATATAAAACATAGTTTATTTTGAGTGAAACAACCTCATGATTGCAGATAAGTTTTTACAATATGATGTTTTGTGATAGTGTTTACTTGCTTCCAGATTTAAAAGTGGGGTTCTAGTTACTACAATCTACACATAATATAATAGCATGAAGGAAAAAACCCTTCCCCCATTTCAAATTTCATGCTCCATGAGCGTTTGTAGGAAGAGTATAATAGGGAGTGTCAATTTTTTTTTCTCTTTCCTCTATGGAACGAGCCAACTTACCGTACATGTGCGGACTTGAACGGGCCCAGGGATTGTTGCGGCCCACAAAAATAGAACAGGTTCCAGCCACGACCACATCTGTTTCATGCCTCCATAGCAATCACCGAAACCGAGTCTTGGATTGTTCCGATGCTAGATCTGGACTCCACCAACGCCGAGAATAAATGAGATAATTAGAGAAAGAGAGCTTCATAATTGTTTACAAAATAATTTCCGCAATCCTTCTTCCGTGTGCTAATTGCTTAATCCCTTCCCTATGAAAAGAAATCCGAGTATACTAAAAAGATCCAGTCATGCTCATGAAGAAGGGTGATAAATTGCATGCAAGTAAAATTTAAAGATTGAGTCATTTAATCGAATCATAATCAACCACCCCCTTTTCCATCATTTGTAAGCTCTAACAGATAAGTGACAAAGAAATCCACAATATCGCTTCACTGTAACAATACAGTATTATTGAAGATTGGTCTCTTTCTCTTCTTCTTCGTTAAACTAGCGTCGAAGATATACAAAGAGGGGGTTTAAACAAGTGATAAGAGAATGAAAGATTAAGAAATGAAAAACAGAGACCGAGAGGGGGTGGAAATTGACGTTCGGGGGAGGATGACATGCAGGAAAAAGGTTTGCAAAGCTAAATTAAGGACAAGAAAACAGGGACGGGGAGAAGTGGCTACCGACGGCGATATAATTGAGATAGAGAGAGAGAGAAGTGAACCATGAGCCGGTGAGCACTAAGCAACTTTTTCTAGAGGATATAGGGTTTTCTTTAAGCCCTTTGATTTCTCAGTGTTGGTAAGATATATATGAAAGGGCAAAACAATACACATTTTTTATTGCTAAAAAGAAAAAATTTAACAATAAACTAATGCATGGATTCTAATGAGCTAACCGCTAACCATAGAATAAAAGAGTTGAATGGGTATGACTCATACGAGATTTGACCATCAAGTTTCAAGCAGTGTCCATGAAACCGTACCATACCGACGGTTCAACCACGAAATACCAGTATCGGAGGCTAAACCGATAGGCGGTATTTAACGGTATAACGGTTGAACTATGGTTAAACCACGGTTTTATCATAAAATACCCTAAAACTTACTTTTCCGGTACGATCTCCGGTACGGTTTCATGGACCATGGTTTCAAGTAAAACAAATGAACATCATGGGTTTGCCATCCTAAAACATGCTATTTTCTCTAGAATAACATATATTATTCTATTATTTTACATCTTAGTGACTAAAATATAATGTATTTTAAAGTTATTAAATGGTTCGACCTCGACCAACCTGATTAGTCCAATTTTTATAATTTCAAATATATATTATGTAATTATTTGATATCCTAATGATTAAATTATAGTGTATTTTATAGGGGATTTTTTATTCGGTTTCTGGTATTCAATTTCTATAAAATTTACTCCACCTCATCATATTACCAGAAATAATACTGTTACACAAGGTAAACAGGTACTCGGACTTGGTTCATAAGGCTGATTTTTTGATTCGTTGCATCATCCATGTTTTTTTCCTGCTAAAATTCACTATCTTTACCATGTGTTTCAAAAAAAAAAAAAAACTACACAACAATAAGCTAGACACACCATTACATTCTCAAATTTCATATCTCACCTTTCTCCGGTCAATTGGCTGGGGCCACGCTAGTTTGAAGTATAATAATGGATTAATGGTAGCCGCAGCAGTGATTGGAATTGAACGGGTCGTTTGGAAGTTGCGATAGTTTTGTTGAGATTGTCATTATGCATGTATTGTTTACAATGCATCGTTTTTTTGTTTTTTTAGCAGAAACAATACATGGATTGTTTCTGTGATGTGACAGAAACTATCACTCATTTTGAGTGATTGTTATATCTCAACTTTTAGTTGTGATTGTTGAGATAGTTGAGTTGAGATTGTTTTGTCTCAGCTTTTAGCTTATGCGACATACACAATCACACATACCAAACGTTGTATTCTACAATGCATCAAATTCGACAATACATGTATAATATTATACATGCTCAACAATACATCTATTTAACAATTGCAACTTCCAAACCACCCGAAGTACCAAGCAAAGCAAAGCAAAGTTTGAAAAAGGGGAAAACTGGACCCGTGCTCCCTTGCCTTGCTTTTCCGCTGCTTTAACTACCAAAGTTCCTCCCTGCTGCTGCTGTGCTTTGTCTGTGATCCTCCCTTCCTTCCCTTCCCCACTCCCGCACTTGAGTTGATTTGATTCAAGCAAAGCTGCCTTCGAAAGAACTATGACGCAGTGAGATTCCCGTTTTGCTCGTCTCCTCCACCCGATAAAGCCAGCGGAAAACCAAAAGCAAAAACATATCCCATCTGATTTCTCTCTCTCTCTCTCTCTCTCTCTCTCTCTCTGCCAGCAGCAACCAGCAAGACGGAGAGAGCTGGGCGCTACGTTCAAAAAAATCTCAAACATCAGGATACGATCTCTTCTCCCCCAAATTTCTCAACTTGTCCCTTCTCTCCATCCACAAAAGCGTTGAACTTCTTCTTCTCCTGACCAAGACAATCAAGCCCCTGTGTTCTTCTCCTTCGCCATCCCTTTTGCTTTGCTGGGTATTGCTTTTGTTTTGACTGGCTTTCGCTTTCCCCTCTCCCTCCTCCTCCTACCCACTTTTCCTTTCGCCCGCAAATTCAATTGGGCAAGCGTGAAAAATCCCACTTTTCCTCTCTTTCGGTTCAACTCACTAAACATCATCACTAGGTTTCCCGCCTACAAAATTTGCGCCCCTCCCTTTCTCTTCTTCCCCCCCATTCTTCCTGCTGCTTCTTCTGTCATGGATTTCTTGAGGTTTCGATTGTGCTTTTTCCTTCCCCATTTGTTTTGACTATCATGGTCGTCGAGCCTTCAGCTCTGGACACCGGCAAATATGGTTGGAGGAGAAACTGGCGGCGGCACTGGGTTCGGTAGGGTCCCAGTCATTGATAGCAAAGGGTGTTCCAGGCTTTTCCTTGGAATGGGATTCTCTTCCTTTTCTTCTTCCTCCAATTCCATGCCTTCATTCAGAGGTTTGCAATCCTTCGATTCAATGCTTCCTGTTGCCTCCTCTGCTGGCTCTGGAATGGCTGCTCCCCAAAATGCTCCGTTCGCCGGTCTCACCATTTGTGTCACTGGTCTCTCCAAAGGTATGGCCTTTCATATAAAATGAGAAGAAATTTTGCTAGTACATGAGTCTTTGCTCCCTGCTTATTCACCACCATCTTGCTGGATCGATCTCCCATGGAAATCTGGAATTGAACTTGAGCTGTCGAACTGTTGGTTTTCTTTCTGTGATCAAAATCTCTATTCTGTTTTTTGTGCAAATGATTTTAGTCTTCCATCTTTTTTCTAGGAGCTTCTTTGGGGGCCTTGGTATTCTGATACTCCTATTTTGCAGAAGCAAGGAAACAAGTTATGGAGGCCACAGAGAGATTAGGTGGTCAATACAGTCCAAATTTGCACCCCCAGTGTACCCATTTGATTGTCCAAATATCCTTCAGTTTATTTCTTGCCATTGCACTTAATATGTTGTATTAGGTTTGAGTCCAAGAATAAAACTAATACATCTAATACAGATGTTGGCTGGGTAAATTGATGGTTCTTGACGAGAAGTAAATTAACCGAAGCTTGCCTGTGATTGACTGTCCTTCTTGAATGTTGAGTGTGGTAGTATGTGAGAACAACAGCCTCCACGTGTTTTGTATACTATGCTGAACATCCTACCAAATGTCTCTCTGGTGAACCTTAATCCCAAGCACAGTTATGGTGGACGCAAGTTTGAGCATGCTTTGAAACATGGATCGCGAAACGGCCTCTTCGTTGTTGCATTAGGATGGTTTGTGGACAGTGTCAGGCGCAATGGTAACAATAAGCTGCCTCTTCTTGTCTTCCGTCTTTATTCTTATGCTGATGTTTTTATAAATTATTTTCTGTTGAAGGCCGTCCCTTTTGAGGAACTGTAATCTGGGTTTGGCTGGCAGTTTCTGTGAAATCTATTTGTTGGGAACTTTTGCCTCTTGGAATTCTGGTTGTATTGATACTTGTATGCCCCTTCCTTTCTCATGAGTTAATGGATCCCACTGTGATTATAGTTTTTTGGATGCTTGGCATCCATATGCGAGCATCTGGATTCTTCTACGAAAGAGAAGAAGACAGTAAAGGCATTTGGAGATCCTCTTGTAGACATTTTGGTTTTTTGAAATCTTAGAAATTCGAAGGATGTAGCTTATTTTTGGTCCTCAAGCGAGAGTGCAGTGTTGTAGCAATGAGGCTGAGGTGGGGTTTGATGTCTCTTTAATATCTCATTCCTGTTTTCTTTGCCTCTCTGCAGTTAGGTTGAGTGAGTCACTCTACGCTGTGAAGAATTTGGGAGACAATGGAGTGCGATTAGATGATTTAAACCGGCTCGTTGGTTTCACTGATGCTGAAAATTCATGTTTTCCTGATGGTGTTAGCAACAGCAAACAATTTGACATGACTGAGAGACCAGCACATAAGCATGCTCCTCGGAAAGCTTCTAGCTGCAGTAATGATCTGATTTTCTCTGGTAATGCCATGTTTGTCGATCCAGATGTTTCAAATGATCTCAAGATTAAGGTAATCTCAGATGCAATAACCAACAATAAGTTCGTATCAGTTTTTTTATACTGTATGTTTGTTCATTCATCCTAAAGCGAATGTAATGTCCCTGTTTCACCTGGCCTTACACCGGCATGATCAATCCCTTAAAATTTGTAAAGCTGTTTATATGTTGGTAGGTCCGAGAGGCTGCGAGCCAAGAGGGTGCCACATTCTTAGATCGATGGTTTGTTGGTTGCGGTGCGAGCCATATTGTGTGTGAAGAAGCTTCTGTGCAGAGATACCTCGGCCACACTAACAATCTTGTTACAGTGAGTGCTTTTGAAATTTGGTTCCCATTACAATGTTGTTAAGTGCCTGAAAGTGCTGTTTTACTTACTTTGTCTTTCTCTCCCCATGCTTCTATATTCAATGGCGCATCTTAGCCGCTGTGGGTTTTGAAAACTGTAAAGGAGAAACAAGTGCAGAGGCTTGTTCACATCTCTGCTGATTTGGCCAGGCAGGTTGCTACAACGCTTGAAAATTTTCCACATGGCATTGCTGGCAAGGTACATTTTTTATAATAGCCACAAATCTGTGATTCTCTTTACCTTTCCTTTCTCTAACAGAGGTTAACATCATTCTGTATACGGATTCTTCTTTAGGAAGGTTACAAGGAAAATATTCCTCAACGTGATAGCGAGGCTTCTCTAGGTAAAGTCAGAGATGCAGAGAGGCAAAGGGTAGTGGAAGTTGCTAAGCAATGGGTTAGAAATCGGCGTGGTCGTCGCATGCAGGTTCATTGTCTCATTCATGCTATTTTCCTTCCTGAGTTCTTTCCTCCTGCCCTAACTAATTCTTGTCTGTTTTACAATGCGATACAGCTCTAGCTTCGTTTGCTTTCTTTGTGCATGTATCTAACTTTAATGGCGAGTTGAAGTGGCCTCAAAATTCATAAAATGGAATTCCATTTCTATTTTTTATGTTTGGGATGGAAAAAGATGGGAAAATGGGATTATTTCTTTCACATTTCTTTTTCCATGGGTTCATGAGAAAAAGCATCATCTCAATAGCTGTGAGAATTTTTCCAAGCACAAGAACTGGAAATGAAAATCTAGAAAATGAGGATTGCAAATGTATTGTTTCTTATGGAGCTGTATTCAAACAGCCTTTGAGCTTCCTTAAGCTAGTTTCTTGTTGACATTCACTTGGCAATTTAAGCTGAATGTGGCAGTTCAGTCCTATAATTGTTATCTTGCACAAAATAGTCTCATGATCTTACTACAAGTTTAGCTTAAATCTTGTTATTATGGGTTATGCAGACATGCCAAACACCACTTCGTCCAATAACTCCAAGCAGTCTACTGGATTCAATTTGCTGGTCGGTATCTGAGCCAGCTTCAACTGCTTCTATTTACACAGACTGTGTTAGCAGCGTGGATGTCAGCGAAGAAAATCAGACCTCTGTGTTCTATGATGCAAAAGGTGATGGCAAGGAGGACTCGGATCAGCTGGTGGCTTCATTTGCAAACCTAACCAGGCCCCTCACAGAAAGGTGCTGATGGATATATTGCTGTCCTGTCCTGACAATTGAAAATGCTCATAGTCTGCTGTGTTCCTGACCCTTTTCTTTCCTTGCGTTCCAGTGAGAAAACTGAACTTGTCTTCCGCAACCATTTCCTCACTATCCTATTTCCAGTCGACCGGTTTTCTGAGATGGGACCTACTTCGAAAACCTTTTTCTGTGACGGTGGTTTTACTTGTTTACAGGTTTTGGATCACATCTATGCATTTTACCAGGTACGGTACTTGAAATACACAGTATGACCGGGCTTGAAACCCTTAAATATCAGAACAATATTTGATAATGATAGTGGGTGGGTGTGGCATTTTTGTTGCAGGAGAATATGTCAGTTGCAGAAATAGAGGTTGCAATTCACACAGACTCGAGACATGGTGATCGGCTTCGATCTGCCTACTGCAGTAAAGAAGCAGCAGAGCTTGGATATGCGAAGTTTAAACGTATCGACTTCTTAGGGAGTCGCCGGAGTTTTGAGATGTTGAAACGGGTTACTGGGGACAACAGTAGTAATAATGTATATGAGCTTTTGATTAGGGCGTAACAAGCTACCAGGCTCCTATCCTTTATTACTATTTCCCCCCTTTCTGGCAACAAAACTGCCTAGCTTATCTCTCTGGTAGCACCTTTCTCTGCAACAGGGCTTCTCCATTTTTCTTCAGCTAGCATTATACAAAACCGAGGCCAGCTTGTCTTCTGAAAAATAAACAATCACTGTGTGATGCAAGTTCTCAATTGCAGTTATTTGAGAGTGTAAATGGGTAGAAATGTCGAGAAAGTATAGGCAGTGATGCATTGTATTCTGGAACCATGTTTGCCATTTACATAGTCCGATAGGACTCACTCGTTCATTTGCAGCCCTTAGATTCAAGAGGTTGAACCATGTTGGTTGCAACTTGCAAGTTCTTCAGCTATTCATTAACAATTTTGCTAATTTGCAGCCCTTAGATTCAAGAGGCTGAACCATGACTGCTCAGTGCTTTACTGCTTTAGGTAGGCATGTAGCATGTCAGTTTTGTATTGGCTGAACTAATGGTCGTTTGTTTGGTGAATTTAATTTGGACAAATATAGATTTTTGACAAGGTACATAATTCCAAATGTGTTGTTTGTTAAAAGTTTTTAAATGAGTCGTTTGTATAATGTTACCATTTTACTCTTATATGAAATATGTTTCACTATCGAAAAAAATATGTTCCATTTTCTTGTTTGCTATCCAAAACTAAGTCAACTACGGAAAAAAAAAATCAATTTTGCAACCAACATGTAACATGTTATTTGGGTATTATTTATATATAGTAATACTAATTTTATTTTTAACAATAATTTTATGTTAACTTTCTTCAAAAATTGTAACGGTTCAAAAGTATATCATTTTACCAGACATAACATATATTTCAAAATCCGTCTACAAAATAGTAAACACTATTTTACTAGAAATAATTGAACAATATTGATGAAAAGTATTGTTTGAAAATAATAGTAAAGGGCTTGGTTATGAAGACAAAATAGAGAAGTGTTAGTATTGGTTATATGAAAAAAGGAGAGAGGTAAGATTGGAAAATAATAAGAAAAAGCGAATTAATTTGGGGCAGTCATTTGCAAATGACTCGTTTTATTTTATCAGGTGTTGAATGCTTTATCAGTCTATTATCACAACTTGTAAGACTAATCTCATTCGATTTTGTTTCCGAGGAATGACAAGACAATAGTTAGAAAGAATCACTACCCACAATCCCTCCACATTCCACTAACAAGTCACCATACAAAATCAAATAATTGAGACACCAACAACACTTTACGTGCCACTCGATGAGCAGGCCAGTTGGGCCCTAAAATCTGATATAATCATAGTAGCACAGCTCCAAGCAATTCGAACCAAATAAAAGAACCAAGATAAAGATGGGATCAACCAGACAGAACTCACTCGTGAAAATGGGCAATCGATATAGGAATCGATCGGGCTATCTCAACTCGGAATCAAGGGCAGTTGATATGGGTAGCTCGCCACAACTAGGGTGAATACCTAGATGATAAGAGTCGCTCTAACACTCTAGAATTCTCAATAGAGTAATTAGGGCAAAAGTCCTCAAGGGAACTCGGTCAAAGCCTTCAATTTAATCAATAGGTTTTTCTACCCTTAAACCAACGAGTTCAGCCTCTTTAAATAGGCAAATACAATCCAAATCCGACTCCAACACGGAAAAACAATCATAAACCGACTTTAAAACAAGGAAACCCGAAAACAGCCCAACAAACCCGTTAAGCCCAAACTGTTAAGCCTGGACCCATTAAGCAAACCCGTTAAGGCTCTTTCTTGCAATCTGCCTTCTCTCCAACACTTCCTCCTTCTTCCTCCACTCTAATAATCATATATGGCTTTTCTCAAAACAGCTCCACGTCCTTGGCTCCAAGGTAGCTCTCCAAATACGTTTCAAGCTTCTCCTTCAACGTTCTTGCCTTTGCACGTGTGACTGGCCCATTGATGTCTTCATCAAAATCTATCCAATGAGAAAAGACTGAAGAATAAGGCGACAATCTCGCAGAGGAGGGGGGGGGGGGGGGCTCCAATGGAATCCTCCGCCACACCAAAGTTGAGCTGACAGATGACCACTTCTGCATAGACTTCGAGGATGACACGAGATAAACTTCTAGAATCTGCAAGAGACACTGCATCCCTAGCTACAAGAACTTCTGCGAGATACGGGTAAGAGATCTCTTGATGTTGGACACCCAAGGCAAGAAGCACATGCCCGTCCGAGCCACGAACAAGAAGACCAAATGAGAAGCTAGAAACTTGGATAACGACATCAAAATTGATTTTCAGATGGTCTTGAGGAGGGCATTACCAATATAGAGCTAGCAGATGTTGGAGCACGAGGCAGAGAAGATGAGGCATGCGGCAAGCAAGAGAGCACTTCACGGGATTGAAAGGATAATTGGCGGCAAGCAAACGAACATGAGGCTTGGTATTTTAAAATACCATTTTATTTCTTGAGTTTCATATTCTCCACAAGAGACATACTACCTGGAGAATACGAGTTTGGGACGGCTTAGTTAGCATAACATGACGCTACCAAAAACTAAAATTCACTATCGAGGCCGAAACAAGTTTATCACTTAATCTCACAAAAGACCATAACTGAATGGAAATGGGGCAATGAAAGAAGAAGTGTTCTATACTTTCTCGGAATCTCCAGCAAACAGGGCATCGACTTAGACAAATAACCCCATGGGATCAGAGCACTACTGTTGTTGGAAGGACCACTTTAAGATTAAGAATCTCAGCTTTGGAGGAGCCTAGATGACCCTAGTATTTTTTCAAAAAGGAGGATCGATAATATAAGGCAAATATTTTCTACTCGAAGCGAGAATGCACTCTAAAGCCTAGTGATACCTTGTCTTGATCGGATATTTATAATTTTTGGTGAAATGCCAGACTCAAGCATTTGCATCTTCATGAGCCTTCACCAAATGATTTGAAAACCGGTCAAGATTCGAGACTCCACTTCTCCAATGAAAACCTTAACTCCAAAGAGGTTTTGAGCTGGACTAAAGACTTGAGGGCAAAAATCTGACGATAAGACATGGAAAAAAATGCTAGTTGGGAGGCACCCAAATTTCGGTTTGCATTTTCTTTATCATTCTTCAATAGAGAACTTGCATGGTTGAATTTTGTTTTTAGGAGTGCTTGTAAGTTTAGTGCTAGTGATTGACCTTGCCTTAGATCATACGATTTTTAATGGATAATGGTAAAGTGATGAATGATAAAATGGTTAAATGTTGGTGAACTGAAAAAGTTAGTGGTTTAGGGATTTAGCGGTTAACCGTTACAAAACTGTTGGTGAACTGTTTATAGAACCGTTCATAATATATAACATACAAGACTTGTACATTACGCTAATTTAAGAATGAAATTATCATTGAGCAAAAGTAATTTCTAATTTATATCAGTCGGTAGTAGACAACGTAACGTCGACAACAAGGTTGGAATGATAAGATGAAGCATATATAAAATTAATAATTATGGTCTTAGTTTAGGTTAAAGTATTTTTTTTTAAAATAGTGAACCAGTGGACCAGTTAAACTGTGGTGGTCCATATGATTTTATGTTGAACCGTGAAAAACCGTTTGGTCCATCAATAACCGTCCAAGCAATGAGCTAGACCGCTATCAAAACTGGTTTGGCGGTTCCACTACCCCGACCGTTGATCCAACTCGGTTCATATAACAATGATTGTAGGTATTTTGATGCTTAGAGAGCTCCCCCGCCAACTGCTCTATGAAATGCCCGAACCACATGAACGGTGCTTTTATTGATTTGATGAATGCAAATTGGACTTGAATACTTATGTTAGACCCCTAGAAGCATGTTTGAGGTGTTGTTTCAAATTTTGATTGATTAGAATAGGGTGTATGGCTCTTCTGCTCACCTAAGCTTACAGCTTTGTTATGGTTTTTGAGCAATTGATCAATACCCTTACCTTAGTCGTTGAGGTTGTCTCTTTCCATGGCATCGAAATACCTAGATTGACATGTTTTTATTAAAACCAATCATTCAAGATCGATAACTACCTTAGTCAACATTGCTTTTCACCTATGCACCCTTGTGTTACATAGTAAACATCAAGTGTGGGGGTGTATAGGATGATTCTTAGAGATGATAAAAACTCCTCTATAAAAGCAAACAATCCTTCAGGTTTTTCCTCTTTTGATCAGTACCAAACATGAAAACCTCCTATCAACAAGTAATTCGTCTGCTTCATACTAATATGATTTAATTTGGCTATATTGGGTATCCTTTCTCGCAGGATTTACCGCAAAAAGTATAAGCAAGAGGTGTTCATTGGCTTCATGGATAATTTTTGAAAAGTATTTGGAATGAATGGGTATGACTTGTTCTTGTGTGTAGAAATCCTTCCAAGGGTTAGCCCTATTGAATTGGTACCGGCCTCGAATCGCCAAATATCAATGAAGAACCGGAACACTAGGACCTTTACAAAACACGTCGACCCTCAACCACCACTATATCGTGAGAAAGCAAAACAACATCAACCACAAGTCACACCTAGAAGGTCGAGATATCGAATCCAAAGGGCAAATTCTTGGCATTGCAATGCCATTTTCTATAATTTCTCTTTTCTTTTCAACAAACAACCTTTGTGGGTGTGTGTTCCTTGTATCCTTTTTAGTACTTTTCTTAGCTATGATCTCTCAAGAAAAAAAAACCACCGACTGAATCCGATTCTCCCACAATCACCTCAATTGTCATTTAAGTAACTCCTTTCCCTTATCCTTTAACCCTTTTCACATTGAGCACAATGTGACCGTTAAGTGTGTGTGTGTGTGTGTGTGTGAGAGAGAGAGGAGGGGGGGGGGGGGTGCAAGAATGCTTGTGTGGAATGCATGTTATTGATTGTGCTCTCTTGGGTTTTATATATATGAATGATTGAGCAAGCGAGCGAGAGATAGTAGGCATATCGACTAATCGAGTGATTGTGGATGATGTTTTACCAGAACTCAACCACTTGGAGACTTGAATGTATGCCAATTTTTTTTTTTGAATTTTAGGGGTCCAAGTTGACCCCTATACTTGCATTATGATTACTTGCTTCAAATCGTTGATATTCATTCCCTACAATCTTGACCAATTTTGAGGATAGTGTAGTGCGTGGGAAGTCTCGATTTGAAGTAGTTGATTTGGCCTTTTGAT